CTTCATATTAGTGACAAACAATAACAGTAACAACAGCTTTTTGACAAGTTTAAAATGTCTTTAAAATACATTAAATGTTTAAAAAAATACAAAAAATAATTTAAAGTGCAAATTAAAATATAGTTCTTCAACTGTATTTAATAATGTTTTGAACTTTTAAAATATTACATGGTAAAACCAGAAGGTGCTCTTCATATTAGTGACAAACTTTGGTGTTTTTTGACGAGTTACTTTCATTTTTGTTTCTACTTTTCATTTAAAATACGTTTCCATTGTCGGCCGTTTCTAAGGTTCTTCTTCTACATACTGTATTAAAAAAGCTGTTAAACATCTGAGTGGTGCACTACTGCTACTAGTGGTGAGAAAGTGTATTGCACCTCATTCAAAATCAATGTGGTCCCACGGCCCTCTGCGACCCAAAGTTAAAAACTGTTGTTCYTTTGAGGCCGGGCCACGGCCCATYGGTTAAGGATCTCTGCTATAAGTGATTGTAAGAATTTTAAACCATTGCACATACTAATAATCCTTATTTCTGTACCTTCAGAAGCAAAGATTCACATTTTAAAGTTGATCAATTGTCTTCTAACAAGCAGTTAAGTTGTTTACTGATCACAATAACCATTTTGTACCCAATGAAATGTTTTCCTGCGTGAACACGACCCTGAGCACGAACCTGGACTTCTGTTTGAACTTTAGGATCTAAACTTCGTTCTGGTTCCTGTGAGCTGCAGAGAGGTCCAGAGGTTTATTTTAATAACCCTCGCCACGTTTTCTTGAATTATTTTGTGCTTTTGAAGAGGAAATGTGCAGAAACCCGACAGCTCGCTGCTCCTGAGATACAGGAAGCCCTGCAGTGTTTCTCCACATAATCTGCCTTTAATTGATCCTCCTCAGGGACGACTTTGGCGAGAACATACCACCTGCTGACTCGCTGCCTCCTATTAATGAAAACCTTGTAGCCATGACAACCTAGCCATGCAGATATTTGATGTTTCTGTACGTGACTGAAGCAGATCGCCTGATGAGAGCAGCTGCAGGTGATGGAGGGTGATTTGTTTTACTTTGTGGAAACGTGAGGTAACGGTGTGRTTGTGTTGCACCTGCTGCCTCAGGTGTTCAGACTCAGCTGCACTCAGAGCCCCTCGCAGCAAACACCCACCCTGCAGCAGCTTAACACAGATTCATCATCATTATGTGGAGGGATTATACTTCTATAAATATACCTATATTAAAAAGTCCTCACCCGGATTAAACTAATCAAACAGATGAGACCCTCCCTTTGGAAAAGTGCTGCAYTAAATAACTCCAAGATAAAAGTTTTTAACCCGATGGTTTGTTCTCAACATCATGTTTTAGGAGTAAATTTAATTAAACTATAGTAAAGAAGGATTCATTTGAAAAATGTTGTTAAAAGCTTTAAAACCTTGAAAGAAAATCTGCAGATATCAGTTAGTGAGTAAAAATACTCAAAAGTATTTAAAACGTATCAAAAACGTGTCGGTTGTGCTGCTGTTGGTCCGTACACGTGACGGTTCTGAATGAAGTGGTTTTATCTGGTCCTGCAGGTCTCCGGTCATGGCCGGTGGGCTGTTTGCTGTGGACAGGAAGTGGTTCTGGGAGCTGGGAGGGTACGACACAGGTCTGGAGATCTGGGGAGGAGAACAGTATGAGATTTCCTTCAAGGTYAGAATATATTTATACATTTCCTTCAGTCTGCTGTGTGATCAGACCAGTTAGGTGTGTTTGGGTCGTTGCTGATTTGAATGACTCATCTGAGCTTAATAATTAATATAAGATACAAAATGTTGCTTTAAAACTTACAGTTTTTGTTTCCAACTCATTAGGAGAAAAACCCAAACCTTTCCTTTTTACTATAAAAGAGATTGAATATGTCTGGATCAGATTTAAAACAACTTCTRAGTCAGGGAGGCTGCAAAACCAGCCCAAACCATCATCCTTCCACCACCATGCCTGACACTTGGGATGAGGTGCGTTGGTCTCGATACCCTCGGGTCTTGGTCTTGACTCTGTTTTGATACATTCTGGTCTTGGTCTTGTCTCAGGTCAGGTGGTCCTGGTCTTGTTTTACCACAGACAGACTTTATATTTCAGTGTTTCTACATTTTCTTCTAATTTTCTTGAACAAATCATGAAGCTGTAATAAAAGGTGTTTTTCTCAGGTTGAATTCAGCTCATTTTTAGATCTTCAGAAGCTTCTGGAAGCTTCGACTCGACTGAACGACTGTTTCTTTTTTACCAGGAGTCATTTCTAAAGCTGAGTGTGAAACGAGCGATAAGCTTCCTCAGCTGAAGAAAAACTCTTAAGTTTTTAATACTTTTCATCTTATTTTAATAATTACTGATATAATATCCCATAGCAAGGTTATTATTTCAGCCGAGATGATCAAACTGTAAAATTATGCTATCAGCACATGCCTTGCTTTGCCTCTCAGGTCTGCTTTATGTGCTCAGATATTCAATTTGGTTTCCTCTTTATTAAGATCCCCATTAGCTGATAGGCTGCAGACAGCCCATCTCCTGAGGTGAGGAGATTAACAGGCTCTCATACTAATCCTTACAACCAAACTGCTGCTCCCGCAGACAACCAGACCCCGCTCGCATGTGAAACACAATCACTTTGTTCAGCGCCACGCTCGTTCCCAAGCTCCGCCCTGGCCACGGTGTTGTGAGAGCGCCAAACATTTCCCGCTCACACGGCGAGATGATGTCAAAWAAATATTTTACTGATTTTTCAAGTCTATCATCTGTCTCAATACTCTCTGGACCATCACAGTGTTTGTTTGTTTTAGCAAAATATCTCATGAACCAGTGGTCACATTTGAACTGGTTAACTTTGATTCAAGATGGCCGCTGCAGCTTCTACCACTTCAGAAGAACACAAACCTGGTTCTAACTCAGTGGATTTTATAGGTGTTGAGCTAAAGTTGGGTGCAGTTGCAGCTGAAGGTCGTCGTTAACACACACTCTGAAACAGATTGAGATTTAGAAAATAAAACAGTAATYAAAATACATCTGTACCTAACAAAAACAAGAAACTGCTTTAACCTCACTGTTCTTGGGACTAAATCATCCACCAGGATTCAGTTTTCAAGCTGGGGCCTTGTGGGTCCCCATCTGTCTCACAAAGACCACTAAAGCTAGCTCCCCCCGTGACCTTGAATAGAATAAATAAATGAAAGGGAACAATATGATGCAAAATTCACTTTTTAGCTGTTAAATAGATTTCATGTACTTTAAGTCTCTGGGAGTGACYTGTAGAAATCTTTATATTCTGCTTATTTTTCTCTATTTTTTCACTATTATGTTTTCTGAACTATATTTGTGACAGAACTTCTAAATAAAGTTTGGACTTACCTAATTCATCTTTTTCACATTTAAATCCTTCAGTCGGGGTCTACATAAAGTGGAAATGCAACGCTTTTGGTCTGAATTCCTCCTTATAGCAACTCTAAAAGCCCCGCCCCTTTTCTGTGGTGCCACAAGCCCCGCCCCTTTTCTGGGGTGCATCTCAGATCAACTTGTTTTGAAGATGTCTCTTTAAATCCAAACGAGGTGCCACACACCCCGCCCCCCTCCAGTTTGTTAGAGGGGTTTTATGGTTATATAGCTGTGCAGAAACTTATTTATTTACAAATGAATTAAAAGATGTGAACAAGGGAAGACTTGTCCATCCAGCCTTGCCGGGTGGACCCAGAGTCCCAGAACTAGAGGAGAATGAAGCCCACCAGACTCAAGCTCAAGTTTACTTTATATTCTTGGTTTGTGGATTTTTATCCTTACATGGTCAATTTTGAAGCAAAATGTTGTTTATTTTTGTTTTTAATCTGTTTTAAAATGTAAAATCATCAGCAGCACAAACCTTGAAGCATTGGATATTTGAAATTTCCTCCATCAGACTCCATTCTCTTCTTTCTTCTGCTGTTTTCAGACACTTTTTCATTCCTGCTTTCTTCTTTAAAGACTTCTTTATTTACCATTTTGTCGTTGAGTCGTTCTTTTCATATCCTCCTCTCTCTTTTTCTGGTTTATTTTCAGCTGTGTGATCCACGTCAGACAATAGTCATTCTTGTCTTTATTGTTGCTGAAGGATTAAAATCCAGTGTTTGATGTCTTTGTTATGCTTCATAAACACCTGAAAAGCAAATTGAATGAGAATAAAGCTTGAAAAAAATGATTTGTTCTCCGACTAAACAAAAGCATGAATGGGATTTAAAATGTAATAAAAACCGTTTGGAGGAATTTTAGGATATTTCAGAGACAACGAGCCTCGTTTTCCTGGAAAAACTGCAACCTATTCATTTTTGAACAGAATTATCTAAATTAAACAAAATATTATTTTATCATAAATCTTGTAGTAAAACTTTAAAACCTCATCTGCTCAAACTCCATCTTTTCCTCCTATTTATMCAAATAAAAATAGTTGACGCAAACTCTGCGGCGACACGTTAAAAGATCAAATCCTGAAGCAAATGATAAACAAAACCTTTTCTTTCAAAGAAAAGAGAGCTGAAATCTGACCTGGTGGTTCTCCTTTGATACYTTCAAACTTTGAAACAAAAACTGAMTCTTTGTCTCCGTGTGTCTCTGGAGGTGTGGATGTGTGGTGGACGGATGGAGGACATCCCGTGCTCCAGGGTGGGACACATCTACCGTAAATACGTCCCCTACAAGGTTCCTGGTGGGATCAGTTTGGCAAAGGTAAAGTTTGCATCATCATTGTGTGATAAAACAGATATTTTGTTATCAAACCTGTTCTGGAGTCAGAAGTCAGAAAACTATTTATAGACTTGCAAAAGTCTTCACCCCCCTCAGTGATCTGTCTGCAGGGGCCTGAAGGCAGCGTCAGCGAGCTGCAGCTGGTGGCCATAAATTACAAACGTCATTCTCTAAAATATTCATAAAGATATTCAGCTCATCAGATACTACACCTCATGTTGATATTTTAAAGAGCTAAATGGTAGCTAAAGCTAAAAGTAGCAAAATGGTTAAAAAGTGATAGTTTAAGTAGTAGCTGCAGCTAGTAGATKCCTAACAGTAACTACGAAAGTAAAATTTACTCTTGATCAATAATAAAAAGGTTAAAAAACAAAAAAATGACTTTTTAGATAGCTGAACAGTAGCTGAAAGCTAAAGGTAGAAAAATACTTTAAAAATCAGCAAAACAGTGTACTAAAATTAAAAGCAGCAAAAATAATAGCTGAATCTCTAAGTAGCAGAGTGGTAGAGAGGAGTAGCAAATAGCTAAACAATAACTAAGGTAGTAGAACTGCAGCTAAAATTAATAAAATGATGCTATAAACAGCAAAACATGAGCTAAAGGTAGCAGAGTAGTAGCTAAAAGCTTTAGGTAGCATAGGAAGACAAAAATTACAAAAAATAAAATAAAAAATAAAAGAAATTGAAGCATATTTGACGGAGCAATCTTTAAGAATTTGAGGAGGTTTAAAGTGCATGTAACATTAAATTTTAGTAATAAATACGAATAAATTTTTGTAAAGATAATATTGATAAAATATTGTAAAAATGATTTCACGCTGCTGAGAAGAACAGTTGTTGAGATATTTGCATGTTCAGTAACAGGAAGTGATGTCAAAGGGGAATGTCTGCATGTAAACAGAGCGTTGTTACAATGACCAACAATCCAGACTATAGAGAATAATCTGTTGTTTGTTTAGATTATTTAAATTAGTATCATAGAGATGAAAAGTCAGAGTTTAAATAATATTGTTCTAATAAACAAAAAACAGAGTTTTATTTCTTGAAGTGTTCCCCTTTGATGTCACTTCCTGTTTCACTTTGAGCCAAGTTCAAAAGAAAATCCGTATGTGAGAAAATGAGTGAAATCATCACGTTTCTTAAATATAAAGATGTTTTTTTGACTTTTTGTATTTCATGGAAATGCGTGGCACTTTAAGAATAGCTTTTTATATAATTTTATTTTTCAGTCAAAGTATTTTATTTTGAAAAGTTTCGAAACGTTCACAGCACCTAATTTCTAACTGAGCTGAATGTTTTAGTCATGGTTAAAATCAGCAGAAAGTGGAAGTACGTAACGTCAAAAAAATATTAGGAAAAGACAAACAGGAAATAAAACAAATGTTCTTTAAATCCAGTTAATAAAAGAATAAAGTAACACTTTATTATATTAGTATTTTTGTATTGATTTCCCTTTCATTTTTATCTGCACAGAGTTTTATTCTCCTAAGATCAACCTCAGGTTTTATTTAGTTTCCTATATATTTTACTAACAGAGCTTCCTTCACTGAGGACTGTGAGTTTAGGCCCCGCCCCCTCCTGCCTGGTGCTTGTTCTGGTTGTTTTTAGGTGGTTGAATCTCTTTCTGCAGGTGTATGGAGCTAAATTGGGGTCATAAATTTTGTTCAACTGAAACAGAAAAAAATATTTTGAAACTGAAAAACAATGCATTACAATCTGGAAAAGTTTCAAACATCTTGTCTTTTCAGTTTCAAATATTTTTTCAGTTTCAAAATTATTTTTCAGTTTTAAATCCCCTTTTTTCAGTTTCAATTATTTTTTTTATTTTGAACAAACCTTATGACCCCAATTTAGCTCCATACAGGTGCAGCTGTTTGAAGAATGAGCTGAAGTTCTTTTTGTTTCCTCTTTTTTAAAAGCGTACCCAGTCAGAACGGAACATGTTCTAAAGCATTAAATCATCCCGGCTGCAGAGGAGACACATTTATTCTGTATTCTGGAGCCGGGCTCAGAATGCAGCCGAAGGTTCGGGACTTTTGTTTTATTCTGACCGGCGGTGTTTGAGCCTCGCCTCGCTGGAATGCCGATGGCCTCGAGTCGCTGGAGGAGAATATTTAAAGAGAAATGAGAGGAATGAAGTAACTGTCGTCCTTGTTTGACACGTTCCTCAGATGTTTGTTTGTTACTGAAGTGGTACTTCACTTTGATGCCAGTTCAAATTTCAATGGCAAATAGTTTAACAGCAGAAAAGAAGAAGGGATTATTGTGTTCGATGTTCTGAGGACTGTTATGAAACGGATTTGTTTGAGCAGACACCGACAGTCTGCTGTTAGAAAATGTTCCAACTTATRAAACATTTCGTCAGCAGCTTTCATTAGTTTTCTGCTCAGAATCTGTGTAGTTCTGACAAAGAATCCTGAATCCTCGCTGCAGAACCTGAAGCGGGTGGCAGAGGTCTGGATGGACGAGTACGCGGAGTACGTTTACCAGCGCCGGCCCGAGTACCGCCACCTGTCTGCAGGAGACATGACGGCTCAGAAGGAGCTGCGCAGCCGGCTGAGCTGCAGGAGCTTCAGGTGGTTCATGCAGGAGGTGGCCTGGGATCTGCCCAGACACTACCCAGCCGTGGAGCCCCCCGCTGCCGCCTGGGGGGAGGTGAGGGCTCCGCCCACACGGTGTTCACTGCCTGCTTTACAAACTGTTTTACTGTTGTGTTTTCCACCAGATTCAGATCTTTGTCATTCAACACTGCACTGCAGAATGAAATGATGCAGCACGTTAGGTCACAATCAGAACCAGCTAGATAAACTAAATATAAAGAAGAATAAAAMGATAATACAGAATAAAAAGGGGAGTGTATAAATAGTGCAATCTTTGTGAGCGATGTGTCATTTTAAAATCAATCTGTGGACTCGACTGAGTTTGACTCTCAGCTTCACCTGGTCCACCTGTCTGCCTCAGAGTCTGATAATCTCACAAAATGTATTTATGTAGTCTGGATCCAAGCTTTAAAGTCATATTTACTCACTTTTTTTACTTTAATGTTGATAAACATCTCTCCTGCAGAGATCACAATTATCTGCAAAAGTACAAAACATCTAAGTTAGGTAATGACATGATTTAGAGCAGCTGAGAGCAATTTTTCTCACAAATATTTGTTTTTAAATYTATATAAAAGCAGCAGAGGTAGTACCTGTCAGCATAAAGGCTGATGGATTTACTGGTTTTGGTAGAAAACAGTAAAGCTTTAAATTTTTGACCTCTCCCCTTGAAAGCTGGYATTGTATGACAGGGTGTCCGCGGGTCCTTAAAAAGTCTTAAAAAGTCTTAAATTCACATATCTAAAATTAAGACCTTAAAAAAGTCTTAAATTTGTTAAAAATGTGCAAGTTGGTCTTAAATTTGTTACTCAYWGGTCTTAAATTTTGTTGGGCAGAAGRGATTAAAGTTCTCCATCTCCCCRGGCCGTCTCTGCAGAACCATTGCTTATGTTTTCYGTCTTAAATTTCATTCAAGATGGTGTTAAAAAGGTCTTAAAAAGTCTGAAATTTTACTTTCTAATACCTGCAGATACCGTGGTATGAAGATGGTGTAAATCTGTGCTTTTATTGTGAAAGGACGTGAGGAGATGGGTAAGAGTTTGTGTCTGTTTCTGTCCAGATAAGGAACGTAGGAAGTGGGATGTGCATGGAGATCAAACACTTTGTGTCGGGGAGTCCCATCCGCCTGGAGAACTGCGTGAAGAGCCGCGGTGAGGCGGGCTGGAGCCACGGACAGGTGAGACACCTGTCACCTGTCACCAGAACAGACCTTAATCCTCCTGGTTTTTATAAGGACTCTGATCTAGAAACTAARGAGTCTGAGGCGTGCTCCCTGCAGGTGTTGACCTTCGGTTGGAGGGAGGACATCCGGGTGGGAGACCCCATGCACACGAGGAAGGTGTGTTTTGARGCCGTGTCCCACAGCAGCCCCGTCACGCTGTACGACTGCCACGGCATGAAGGGCAACCAGCTGTGGCGCTACAGGAAGGTGTGTTTAGGCCCGCCTCCTGCGTCTCTTTGTAGACAAACAGGAAAGAACCGGACGGACCCTGTCCTCTTTCTGTCCCCGCCCCCAGGACAGGAGTCTGTTCCACCCGGTCAGCAGCAGCTGCATCGACAGCAGCCCGAGCGAGCGGCGCGTCTTCATGAACACGTGTGACCCCGCCTCCCCCAGCCAGCAGTGGCTGTTCGAGCGGACCAACGCCACCGTGCTGGAGCACTTCAACCGGGGCGCCTGAGGTCAGCGAGCTGCCAGACCAAGTGTCTTCCAACAAACTGATCCTGAACCAGTGATCGCATTTGTTCAGGTGAGCAACACCAAACATACCTGAGAGGGAAACATACATGCTGTCGTATTTATGAAGTGTTCATATTTATGCTGTCGTATTTATGAAGTGTTAATATTTACAGCTTTATTCTGACGGAGTTTTATTATTAGGGACCATGTTTAGTCTGCTCCATCAGCTTTTCAAAATGCTAAATCAAATCAGCACAACTCCATGAATAATTGATTTTCTATCAGTTTGGTTTGTTAAAATTGGAAGACAAGCATTAATTATACTTTGGTAAATTAAAAAGCTTTCACACTAAATGACTACCTGTTTTAATTAAACATACTCTAAACCCTAAATCAGCTGTTGTGAAAACAGAGTCCTGATGTTCACAGTGTGGTTGGTTAAATAAAACCTGCAAAGATCAATTAAATATCTTTAAAAACATTACTAAAAACCAACTAATAAGAATAAGAAATTTCTTTCGATCTATTTTTCTCAGACATGTTTAAAAAGTTCTAAACTTCACAAGCTTAAATATGTTGAACATTTTGACACAAAACGGTTGTTTTTTTTAATGCAATGATTGTATAAGTTTGGAGTGAGACCTGTTAGTAAAACTTTATTAAATACAGGAAAACAGTTTAGCTGAATTCATCAAATAAAAACAAAAATTAGACTCCTGATAGTCAGTAGCTGCGTTTCCATTGACCATGAAAATGCGCAAATTAGATTTTCAAAAATAAATTTGCTCAATGGAAACACGTCAATTTTGAAAAAAATTACGTTTTTTGATAAAATGTTTTTGCACCAGGATGAGGTGGTTTTTCAGCCGTATCAAAATTGGTGTTTTTCACAAAAC